TTGTACTTCTTCAATAATTATTAAAATCGTGTGCTTTTGTAATCATACTCAAGGATAATCGATATTCACAGTAGTTTATGTGCGTACACTCAGTTGCTAAAACGTACTATTTAGCAATTATTAGAGAAAATGGCTACTTTTTCTGTATGATCATCATACTCCAGCTTATTCTACATGAATATACACCGAGAGAAAAATTATATAAATAACAATAAATATTTATTCAGCGTGTATTAATAACTATTTACTCAAGTTGAAATTCTTTTATTTAAATAGTACAAACAATTGATTTCGTGAAAAATATTTTATATGAGTACAAGTAAAAATATGTTATTAATATTCACTGCGAATAAATATTTGCTATCTCTTAAATATTTTTCCTCTCAGTGTGCACATACATACGTAAAAGATCATATGTATATTACACACTTTTCTTAATATTCATTAATACACATCATATGAATAATTGCGTGTCACTTTTTTTTCCTAAAAGTAAAAGTAATCGATGTAACGCCGTTTATCGTGCAAAATTAAATAGGGCATTTTACTACGATTTCACTTTTCTGTTTGGCAGCGTAATCGCAGTTTTGGAAAAGTACTCGGGAGAACAGAAAGACCTACTATGACTACGAAATTGCGAAATTATGCGGGAAAAGTAGGTTACGCGTAGAAGGCTAATAATTATGGAAATGACATGCGTCATGAGCGAAATATTCATTGCGCAGCGTCCTAGGAATCCTCGTGTGTGAATATATTTATTTTTGTACGTTAAACGCGTTGCAGAGATGGATTACGCTTCGGCGGAGGCGGTGAAGGAGAAGGGTAGGCCGGGAGGGGGATCGTTGTCAAAGAGTATCGTGTGTCTCGCTATCGCATAGAACTTTGTTTCGCACGGTCCTTTGTGCTCCGATTTAAAATGCGTCACGTTTATAACAATGAATTCTGTTGTACACAGTGGCGCGTCTATATTTATAATATTATGTCCCGCATATATACGGTTTGTTGTCAATAAATTATACCGTTGCCGCATTTAGCTCGAATTGCACTTCGTAAGGGTTTCGTGGAAATTAAATGAATATCACATTTGGACCGTGTATTATCGGGGTTGTAAACTATCGCTGTGTATTTCGTCGATATATGCACATAGCGCATCCCCGGAATATCCGGCGTTATAATGACAGATTCACGCGCGCGAACGCGGGATCCGGTGTACCTCCGTTTCTTGCACACTCGCGCTCGCGCGAATCCGGCGTATTATTCTCAAATCGTAACTCTGCCCCCTCCCCCCCCCCTTTCTCTTTCTATCCGCAAACTGCGCCGTAAAATAAATTCCTTCGAGTGTTTATTGTCTACTGGCACGGCCGTCGCGCCCGACAACTTTGAGGCGGGAATTGCTTCGCGCGCACGAGAAAACGATCGCGGAATCGAAAAGAACAGAAAAAAAAGAAAACCATGAAAAATCGTATCGTGTGTATGTGTGTGTGGCGCAAGTATAAAATTCCCTCCCTCGCAATTCTTCATTCTTCTCAAGAGTAATGGTCATTCTGACACGTTCACTCTGACACGTCCTGCCGGCGGGGGATCCCGTAATATTACGGGCCGCGTCGAAGGCCCGGGCACGTTCCCGGCTTCCCGTGCGCACCGAGTTATCCTTCCACGTGCTGCATATCCTTCGTTCGCGGGATATCCCTTTCGTCCCCCGACCGCCCCAACGTCGTTCCCCGTCTTGTCTCGCGAGAGCCAAATGACCCACATACGTCGAATTATGGTCCCGCGAGCGCCAGGATCGCGGATTTCCGCCCACCGTCGATAACAAGACAGACATTCCGTTACCTCAAACCGTCCGTCTAATCCGACTTCCTGCACGGGGTGCAGGCCTGATAAGCGGCCAGATAAGAAGTACATACTTCGGATCGCGCGAGTCGCCGGACTGTGAGTTCGCGCGCGCGAGAATCGTGAGACGTAAATCTCGATAGATTGACGATTACAGCGAATGGAGTGGATGCCATATGTTGGCATCGGTTTGCTGACTAGAAGTTTATTCCATGATCCTGATCAGTTGGTCCCAATCGGTTATCTGGTTTGTAGGTAAAGTCATTGGATCCTGATAAGTTATGTAACGCGGCGTGACGATCAGAACCTTTTTGAGAATAAGAATTATTAATTAGGGCTCGATAATATTATCTTATACGAACCAGATAACTATCCAGGATTAACCTGATGAGGGCGTAATGGCAGTTTTCGAGGGAAAGCATTCGAGAAAACTGAAAGACCTACGGCTGCGAGATTGTGAAATTATACTCAGGGGGAAATTATGCTCAGAATCAACCTGATAGTGGGATAAATTTCTAGTTTAAGAGTTCTAGTGTGTGAAAGAACAGACGAAAGAGTAGAACAATGTATTTTATCGGACAGAACGGCTCACTGTAAATGAGTCAGGTTCGCTCCCAGCTTTAATACTTTATCTTAGCGACGTATGAAACAAAAAGGATTTTAACACCGCCCTGGATAAATTTAATCCCGAATAAACGTTTCCTCGTTGAAACAGACAGAAGGGAAAAGGGTTAAGCAGCGTTGAATAATTTATAAGGCAACCTGCGATCTCCACAAATACAAATTCGCTTTCTGTAATGACTCCTAGTAGATTACTCTTGTCTATTTTTAACTCGCCTGCAAAGGTCCACGAGATGTAATTACAACGCGCGCCGACGCGAAGGCGATCATTATCGGTTACGCGATCCGTCATGCACCGTAGACTCGAAAGTGCAACGTGGCGCAATCGATATCACTTAGCAAGTGGGTCTTTTACACGGGCGCGAGGAATCCGTACGAGTAACACGGAAAAACTTTCCTACGACGGAGATTAGGCGATGCGGCGTCAAACGCCCCAGTCGATTAGGCTTCCCGTGGGAGTCGTCGTCGTTCTCGTCGTCGTCGTCGTCGTCGTCTTCGATTGTTCCCGGATCCGTCGACCGGGAAGAAATTCCCGACTGAAGGAAGCGCACGAAGAAAGCACGACTCGCTCTGCCGCAGGATTAGTGCATTTTCCGCGACGACGCGAGTTTCCTTGTTTGAACTGCACCCGTCTGATACTCGCCTCTAATGTAAGACGTCGTTTCGACGACGACGACGACATGAACTTCACCGTCGCAGTTCCTCCGTTCGCCGTGTCTTATTTACAGAATCCCACGACGAAACGCTCTGTCGTTCTTACCAACGGCTCCGCTTCATTGTGCGAGCTCGTCGACGCGAAACTACCGCCGGCAAGATGTAAACTCGCATTCCCATTGCTCCCCGGGAGAACACGACGAAGGGAGGACAGTACACGCGGAGATGTATCCGTGGGACAGTCGCGACGCGTACTCTCCGAGTGAGTGTAAGATTGACTTTGAGATTTCCGCGCATTCTCCTGCCTGCTCCTACACGCAAACTGATCTCTCTATTTTCGCAGAGAGCATAATCGTAACACGCGACGTAATTATTTAATCACTTTCGCGGCAGTCGGTTTACCCGCTCGTCCCAAGTATCGCTAATAAACGCGATATCTTTGGCTTCTGCAACAAATGCAAACGCTAAAAACATGATACTTTACGATCCTATTACAGCAAGAAATACGATACAAAAAAATATAATTTAATACAATATAATTTACAAAAAAAATAAAATATAATTTAAGTAAAAGAAATTTAATATTTTATCACGACACTCGTTCAAACATACCACTTAGGTGGTTAATCCATCTTCTTTCTTACAGCTTGTTAAAAAATTATAATATCGCCACAGATAGATAATTATTCAATCGTAATATAGTTCTTCGCTTATTTATGTTCGCGAATGACGTAATGAGAATTGCAAGCGCTTCGCTAATGTTGAGTTTAATAGCCAACATAAACGGCACAGTAGCTTCCGACAAATGCATGCGCATAGGAAATGAACTTTAAGACGATATTATTCATGTGTCTACACACGAAACATCCTTCTGTGTACAATAGCGAGTCCTGTTACAGTTGAGAGGGCACCACTGTACAAGCAGGCAGGTACGATGGTCCTTCGAATAATATTCTCACAGGCTTTCGAAAGGTCTTAAACTGAGTCAGCCGCGGGGAGTGACACGAGCGGAAAGTTGATCCAAGCCCTAATAGATCGTCTCTTCGTGGTTATTACTAACGAAACGGTGAATCTCGCACGATACACCAACACTGGATCGCTCTCGCAGTTTCACCTACCTGATTTGATCGCGGACATATTATGGCGAAAGGTGAATGTAAAACTTTTCGGGAATATCTACGAGCTGTGGTTTGCCGAGTATTTGAAACTCGATCAATTCGTGGTATCGACTCAATCGTGTTTGGGATAATTATAGCAGATAATGGGACTCTCACTGGAGAGTCATCCATAAGTCCATTTCATTCGAAAATTCGACCGAATTTTGTTGATATTATTTTATCATTGTCGCGTGATTTATGGCGTGATGCCTCTTCCTCTCTCTCTGCCATGAATCACGCAATAATAAAAACGAAAAATATCCACAAGATTCAATGAGATTTCCGAGTGGAACCGGGCGGCTCAAGGAAAACAAACAGGTGATTCCCGATGCGAAGCAAAGCCGACACTCGAGGAGTCGTCGGCGTAACGAGGGATCTTCGCCAAAGGATCGAAACCCGAGAACAAATCGGCGCGGTGTTCGAATTCAAGCCTCTCTTCCCACCGTACGTTCAACGTGTGCGCTTCGAATGGACGAAAAAAAACGCACGCTCCCCGCCTCTCTGCGCTCTTTTCACCCCCGATTCCGCGTGCGGCGGGTTCACCCTCGTGAAAGGAGTCCGCCGCACGCACCCGAGGAAAGAAGAGAAGCCGACCGACTCCGACGGACACACATACACACACGCAGAGAGAGAGAGAGAGAGGGGGGGGATCGCCAACGCATCGGGGCTTGGTAGGGGAAGTTTCGAGGTGGGGAACGACGAAGCAGTGGAGGGCGAACGACCGAGCTCGAAGCTGCGGAGCAGCGTAGGGAGCAACAGTGTGCCGCGCGCGGCCATGAAGCGAAGGTCGTTTCGACGACGAGAGTGGCAGGTAGACGAAAAGCGAGTCGCCCGAGGAGTCCGTGTTGAGCCCGAGAGCTTAGAGGTATTTAGAGGCGCGCGCGCGCGTGAGCTCGCACAGGGTAATGTTAATCCTGGACGCGCTACCACGGCCAGTCGCAAAGTCCGTCCGGCTTGACTCGCGGCTGAAATTTCGGAGCCACATCGACGGCTCTCGCGCATTTTCCGTGCAAGTGAGGTGTGACAGTGATAATAGAGCTACGACGAGATAAACAAACGGTCTCTCGCGTCGGCGAACTCGCACGCGGCGTCCTCGACGAATCGCCGAGTCGGGGGAGGAAGTCACCCCGTCGCGGCAGCACGTGAACGAAAGATGGTGAAATTTAACGCGCCGCCAGTGCCGGAGCGAACGTGAAAATTGAATCCAGCAGTGAGTGAACATCGAGCCGTACTGCCGGTTGTGAATTTTTCGCGCGTGAAAACAAGTGAGAGCGGGAGAAAGAGAGAGAGAGAGAGAGAGAGAGAGAGAGAGAGAGAGAGAGAATAGTGCGGTGGTGCATGTGAAAAATAACGTCGCTGGAAAATAACGACCTGAAAAAGAGTCTCAGACCGCTGTCAATCGTTCGTGGTGTGAATGTTGGAAATTCTACTAGTGCATGATCGCGAACAATTTTTGCCGAATGGGAGCGCAAACGCCACGGTGACACTCGATCGAATCGTAGGCACCGGCGAAAAAGGTGGAAATTTTCCGCGTCGCGGCGACAGTTGCGGAGAAGACGTCGCGCGCGCGGTGATCCGGCAAATTTCGCCAATTTCATCCGGCGGTGCCACAGGGATTCGCGGCGCAGAGAAGGACTGGATCAGGGAGAGATTCGTGTCTGACTATCCCCGAATAATCTCGTCTCGAAACCGTCTTCGTCACGCAGCATCACAGTTTCCCTCGCGATAAAGGAAAATATCAGCACAGTATATAACTCGACGCTGGTCCGTGTCATCATCTTTTGTGTTTCTTCGTGACTCCGAAGTGTAACCCGAGTACGCGTGTGTATATTTGCAAGTGTACATGTGACCCATGTGCAGTAGGAAATACGAGTGAAGTCGTTCGCCAGCGTCTCTCCCGCGCGCACTTCTCTCCCAGTCCATCTTTTCGAAAGAGATGCAAAAGTGCCGGTGCTCCGCTAGCCGCTCGTCCGCGTCTGCCAGCCAAGTTTACTGACCTTCTCCGTGGGGCTGGTGACTGCCGTTCGTGAGACGAAGGGAGACGGCCAGACGGCCTTTTGTGTCGGCTTGAAGAGCGTCTCGCGACACGGGACGCAAACAGGGTGAGATTACTTTCCTCGGGGCTGTGCGTATGGCTGCCAGTGCTTTCCACGACTCGCACTCTATCGTCCGCGAGGATCAGTGCTAAATCATCAGCTTCGGAGCATCGTCGAGTCCCGCTGCCGGCGGAGGCCGGCAGCGACTGTCGGCGACGTGATCGCGAGTGCGTGGTGGATCGCAACGAAAGAATCGTGTGCCGTGCGAATCGCACAGAAGGAGCGGGCAGAAAAGCTAATTGTTCGCCAAGTTGATAGCGAAGACGGAAGGGTCGCAGCTGTGTCGCGCTGCACGAGGGAAAGTGTCGCGTGGAAAATCGCCCGCGGTGGAAATGCGCTCGTAGCGAATCGACATCGTCGCCGCAGTCGCAGTCGGATTTGTAAGGTAAGCGCGTTTATCATCGTCGTTGTCGTCGTTCCTCGACAATTTTGAGGAAAGGCGCGGGAGATGATCGTGCCGGTTATATATACTCGTCCCGAAAACGCGCAGCGAATCAAAGTTTGATGGCGTTCGCGAGCTCGCACCCTCGCCGATAAATTGCAAGACGTATGAAGCGAAATGGGAGTTGCGGAAAGTTCAGTCGACGATGCGATTTGTTCAATTAGAAAGTGCGAGAACGGAACGCGGGAACGTCCGATGTGAGCGAGTGCCAAGTGTGGATAGTGTGATGATGATCGCGAAAAAGAAAGCTCGAGATAATTACATACGTTTGATCGTTCAAACGACGCGGGTCTCCGACACCCGTAAAGCTCTTAGAGCTATCGTAGCTCAATGTAATGAGAATGAGACGATGTGTGTTACGTTGTAACGAGATTGGCGCTAAAGGCACGAGCGAGAGTGCCGCGGCGCGAGAATTCATTTAAATATAGTACAAATTGGAAACTTGAGACTGTGTCATTTTCACGTTGGATAGGAAACGAACGCCGATACTCTCGTGACAGATATCCGTTACGAATTTCCGCCGGGGACACGTGTTTCTGAAAAAAGAGCGTTTTTACGAAAGAGGATGAGCGGTGAGAAAAAGGAAAAAGGAATTAAAAGTCCTTCCGCGAGTGCGAATTCCACGCGTGTCACGTGGCGAGTCTCGGAGCGGAAAGAGCGCGATCGCTTTTTCGGAGCGAATCTCCACCTCCCCCGACACCCCTCGTCACGCCGTTGCCTTCCTTTTTTGCGCAACCCGGTGCAAAGAGGATTACCTCGAATCCGCTCCTAAAAGCATCTCGACGAACGACGATTTCCATCGCGAGGGACCTCTTCTCCTCGCGCGGACGAGTGACCCGTTCTGCGCGGATTATCGCGCCATCGATCGCGGATTTGCGATATCTCGCGCGGAGATCCCTCTAGTTCGCGCGGAATAATGAGCTCACCCTTTTGGATAATCTCAATAATTTCGAGTGGGGCCCCTCGCGTCGCGTTATGTGTGATTTAAGAGGCTCAGCGTTCAGAAGAACACGTTATTTACGAGAGTGAATAATTATTTGATGGGAAGGTTCAACGACAAGCTGATATGAAAAGTGATTATTGTGGACTATTCTCAAAATTCCTTGCAGCGAAATTTCACTCAAAAAAAGTAGAGCAACAGTGACAGTCGAGTCACTCGAATTCGAGTAATTTCTCACTCAAATTGAATCCTCCGCTCTCAATTCTTAGAATCACGGATAGAATATTTTCCTTTGAAATTGTAGAATAAATCGGATGTATTCCACCGTCGCAGAAATACATTCACTCATATGGAGTCGGAATCCACTCTGAGCTTGAGTGAAACGTTTACTCTTGCGATTCCGTGTGGCAGTATCGCTATTACTTTGAGTGTAAATGTCGCAATTTTTCATTCGTTTTGAGTAAGATTCCGTTCCGAAAAATTTAAGGAATATTCTTTAAATTTCTTAGAGTGAAAAGTGGCAGCATTTTCACTCGAGGCAATAGATGAAAATACTGTTACTCGAAACCGCCAGAGTAAATGTTTCGCTCAAGATTAGAGTTGATTCTCTTACTCCATATGAGCGGATGTTTCAATCCATCGGAATGAATGTGTTCCTCTGGTAGTGAAATGCACATCAGATTTACTCTTCAATTTCAAAAATATTCATCAATCTCGAACGGAGAGTTCGCTCTATAGATGTGAAAATTCGACTCGAATTCGAGTGACACGACTATCACTGTATTTTACGAGCGAAATTCCACACCAAGAAATTTAGAGACTACAACAACCTTCGATTTGTCGCGGAAAGCAGAAAATTGATGACACGGATACAAATGAGATCGCGTCGCGAATTTCTCCGCAAATATTTTGGCGCGTCGCGGGGAGTTTATAACGATTCGTTTTTAAAGCGGAGGCGTTACGCTTAATAGCGCACAATTAAGATAAATGCTCGCGACTATAAGAGACGATAACGTAGAGAAATGGCTCGCTCGAGCGTTCCCGGGCCGTTTAAAACGCAGCTAACTCGATAGGAATCGCTCGCGACTCCGTCGATCCTTGGGGCGTGTGCGCCCGTTGGAAAGCATATAAGGGAAAAACCGGCGCGGGCGATAAAATTTTAGCGCCGCTCGAGCTGCCAGGAATATCGGCGAACCGAGATTTTAACGCATAGTAAGCGACATTCGCGGCCGTGTCCTCGCACTTTTCATCGACTCGAAAGAGGGAGCACCTTGTCCCCCCCCCCCTTCCGTACCGGAAAATCTTGACGCTCGAGTGGAATTCAGAAACGCGCTCGTCCCGTCTCGCCGCACTACGTTGCCCCTCCTTCCTCCCCTGTCAGAAAATCCAATGTAGTCGCGGAATTTTTGTCGTATCGCGAACTTGGAGATGGGGCGAGGGAGAGGGACGTTACGATTTTTCATCGAGAAATCCCCGTCATTTTTGCGAACCGCGTGACATCATGCGCGCTCGTCGCCCGCGACCATGTCCGATTCCGCTCTCTCCCATGTTAATTCCACGAGTGCATTCCGTCGATAGAAATTTTTCCCGTTGACTTCATCGAAGTCGCTTCGCGTGTCCCACCTTCGACGCGACTCCAATCGCGACTTCTTGTTATTTTCTTGAGTGCATCCCGGCGACAAGGAATTTTGCCCATCGAAAAGTTCGCGTTGTCTCGTTGCGCAGCGTTTCCCGAAATTGAGGAAAACTTTGTATATGCGTTGCATTCTTTTCTTCTTTTTTTTTGTTCGACACGAAATGCAAATTCGTCCTCAAAATGTCTCAAAAGTCGGCATTAACAGCTGTCACCTGAATCTTGTCTTTCATGTGAGATACTTATGTATTTTCATGTGTTACTTATATTAATAGTCGTTACTTGAAACTTGTCTTAGGTAAGATACTCAGACTTGAATTTAGAGTTAGATGCGAGTTTCTCAGCTGAATCGCGATTGCACATTTAATATATATTATATGATTCAAATAAAAAGCTCAAATCTAATTCTGAATTCAGATCTGAGAATTTTACGTGGAACAAGTAACGATTATTAGTACGAGCTTCAGACCTTCGTTCAAAATTAAATTCAAGTTTTTTAATCGAATTATAATACATTTGTAGATATTTATGTATTTGTAATCGCGATTCAACATCTAACTCTGAGTTAAAATCCTATCTCCGAGTATCCTACTTGATACGAATTTTAAGTAATAACTATCAATACGAGCTGAGGAAATATATTCGAAATTTGCACCTTTCACTCCGACGATCGACAACGTAATTCATGATCTTCCGCGCGAATTAAATCGACCACGGATACTTTCTCGCACGATCAGCTTGTCGATGCGTTCTCGCATTTGAAAACCGAAAATTGCTTACATCTTCGATCGAGTCAAATCGCAAATCCTTGTTATTTTCTCGAGTGCATCCTGGCGATAAGAATTTTTCACCTCGACACGAGTTTTCCCGATGCTAGTATCATACACTACACACGCTCGAAATCCGCGGAAATCTCCACGGACGTTACGTCTTCAATCGAATCAAGCACCAAGTCCTTGTTATTTTCTTGCTCGCGTGTCGGCGACGAAAATTTCTATCTTGCCAGCCTTCCGGCAAAACGCGGAATAAGCGAAAATTGCATTGTCAAGATGAAAGAAAATGTTGTAGATGAAATAGCATTTTTTTATAAATTTTCTCCAGGAAATGTTGTAGAACGAAATAGCATTTTTTTATAAATTTTCTCCAGGAAATCAAAACGGTTCTCCTACCATCGATCAAAATCGAACAAGTTTTCAATTCACTATAGATTTCAATAACATCCGAAATTCTCGAAGAATGGATAACGATTTGACGAATTTAAATAACGATGACAAAAAGTAATAATTTCTCTCTCTCCCTCTCTCTCTCTCTCTCTCTCTTTCTTTACAGAGGATATCCGTTTCTATTTTTGTTCCTGCGAACTCTCGTGACATTTTGCACGGCGCGGTTGATCGAATTCGCGAGGCCAACATTTTTTCGTGGTGAACGTAATACGATAGCTCTACATCCGGATTCAGTACCGTGCCAGACATCGAGAAGGAAAAGTGGGAAGCGGAGAAAGCCGCAGGATTCAACGGATAAACGAAGAAATAAGAACAGAAAAAAGTGCTCGACCACATGGTAGAAATTCGCACGCTGTATCACGAGTAGTGTTAACATTTCAGACCCACCGGATATCATAATGTACCGAATTTTCGCGTAAAATGACGTTTCTAAAACTAGTAGCATAATAATGCTTCCAAAACGCGTTAAAAATGTTATCGCGAATTAGGTCTCTCTAACTTATCCGATAATCGTAAGCTTTGTGCAAAAATATAGTAAAAATATCAATTTCTCAAAAAATTAAAAATAAAAAAGATCCAAATTGTCAATTGTCAATTGTCTAAATTTAATTAAAATTTCAAATTGGTATGCCTCAAATAAATAAAAAATCAGTTTCTATTTTTTACTATTTGTATCCCTTTCTCTTAAGAGTTAAACTTATCAATGAATATTCTTTAAAGAGAAAAAATTGACTATGCTTGACTTTTTGAACAACAGTGAAGAACCTCAGTACTATTTATATTTTTTAAGTCAAATTTTCATCCTCGAGGATACAAATAGTAAAAAATAGAAACTGATTTTTTATTTATTTGAGGCATACCAATTTGAAATTTTAATTAAATTTAGACAATTGACAATTGACAATTTGGATCTTTTTTGTTTTATGTAGAAAGACGTATAGGCTATGCAGTAATAAAAATTTTTAAATCTTAACTTTGCCGATCATTGTCAATTACTGGATTATTCTTACATAATTATGGGTACATGTATATATATTGAATTTTTTTATATATACATATATTGAGTTCTTTTAGGCACTCATATTTAAAGACCAAAACAATGAGAATGTGCCAGATTACATAAATATCCGAACATTGATTCTTTGAT